GTTCTGGCAATGTTTCTCATAATAAGCTTCCCTTTATAAAATAAGTTATATAGACTACTCCATAGCACAGCTAGCATTGCACATTTTTATACCTCTACTGTCCAGAGCAATGCCACATAGATAGCAAGAGTTAAATATATTTGATGAATAATAGTAAAAATAAACACAATTAATATCCATTGAACATAAGCCAACAACTATGCTAAATTCTTTCACATAATTACCTACAGGTAGCTACTCTCAGTTACCAGGAAATTGCAGGTTCTAAAGTTGAAGTTATTGTTCAAAATCATACACCTAATAAGGGATAGAGTACAGACTCAGCCTAGTTCTCTGACCTCAAAACTAACCAATAATGGTGGGCAATTTGGTTTTGCCTTTACACTGGGAGAAAATACTTGAGATTTTTTTGGCATTTCCACCTAGTACTGTGTTTAATCCTCACTATAACCCTAATATAATACTACGATACTATTTTTCTGACAGGGAAATTCAACCCTAATATTTCATGTGACTCAAAAATATTGTCATGCACAGTAGGTGAGAAAAGTAGGGTAAAACCAATCAATAAAATCGAATGTTCATTTTGAAAACTATTGGGCACTAATAAACTGTGGTGTTAACACACTACTTAAAGAAGATTTAAATCAACATGCTTCATCAATATTTTTCTTTTACTTCTTTATATTTTATTTCATGTCTAAGACTCTTTTTAAATGGAAAAAATCAGAAGGGGTTTTCTTTCACTGAGAACAAGTAGAAACTGAAAAAAAATTCTTTTAAGAACATACCTTAAATTGAATTACTGATGCCTAACTTAGTACTATGGTAAAAATTAATTGGAGCAGAACCCTATAGTGATCTAAAATCCTTTAATAAATATTCTAAGTATTTTTTCCAAATTATTCATTAATTGTGAAGCTTTTATAATAAATTCATTATAGTGACTTAATTTATCATAAATTAATATGTAGACTTTTGAGTCTATACACCTACAAATACCAAGTGCAAATACTTAAAAGTGCAATTTCAGTGTTTGTTTTCATAGTGATAATACTAAGTACTTTAATTGCCTCAAGTTATTAAGAATAGACAAATTAGGAAGTAGCAAAGATCAAAAGCTGAGAAGGCAACGGCACCCCGCTCCAGTACTCTGGCCTGGAAAATCCCTGGTGGGCTGCAGTCCATGGGGTCACTAAGAGTCGGGCACGACTGAGTGACTTCACTTTCACTTTTCACTTTCATGCACTGGAGAAGGAAATGGCAACCCACTCCAGTGTTCTTGCCTGGAGAATCCCAGGGACTGGGGAGCCTGGTGGGCTGCTGTTTCTGGGGTCGCAAAGAGTCGGACATGACTGAAGGGACTTAGCAGTAGCAGCAATGATCAAAAGACATCATAGACATGAAAGTTTAATTGCAGTGTGAATAGAAAAAAAAAATGAAAAATGTACACGATCACAGTGCAAAATTTTGTATGCACTTGTAGACATCAAAAAAACCTATGGTATCACAATCTCTATTGTATATATGCTTTAGATGGTAATCTCAGCAAAATAATAATATTACATTAACACTTATTCATATATAGTTTACTGACTATTATTTTGTGTTTATCAATAAATTTTCTTTGATTTTATAAATGTATAAAGGCCATAAGCAAGGCATTTATATCTAGTTTTACCTTGTGAATTTTAAGTAGTAATGTAATAAAAAAGCAATATTTCATTTTGAGTTTGTAAGAATACTTTGGTTTTCAAAGGGATTAAAAATGTTGGTTATTATAACTATAAAAATAGCTATTTTTAAGTTGAACTACATGAATATTTGATTATATTGAAAAATATAATTTTTAGCTTTTAAGTAAGTTGAATACTCTGGCTAGTGAAATTGCAAATATTTATTCATCAGTTTACTAAATATTATCTAAATATATCTATGAGTCAGAAGCTGTTCTAAGCAATGGGAATGAACCATGAACAAGACTCATCCTCTCCCTACCTTACAGAATTTAAAATGGTAGTTACAACAGGAAATTCTAAATTTCCAGGAATTAACAATTTCAGCTAAATGTTGGAAAAGGAATTAAAATGATTTGGTTGAAAGGAAGAGTCCTGAGGCAGAAAAGAATATGGTATGTTCGACAAGCTAAAAGAAATTCTGTTTGGCAAAAAACACAGAGTGTTTATCAGAGTTGCATGAGATGAATTTGGAGATGTACACAAAAAAACATAAGAGGATCCCATGGGTTATCATCAAGTTTGGTTTTATTCCCAAAGTCCCTGGGAAACCAGTGGAAGCTTTAAAGCAATGAAGGAATGTGATCAGGTTTTCATTTTTAAAAGGTAATTCTGACTACATAGTGGAGAATGGAATAGAAGAACAAGACATTTTTTTCCTCTAAAATATCTAGAAAAATTAAGCAAGCTAGTTTTGTATTATCTTTATTGACTCATCTAAAACATCAATTAAAAGACTCACTGTCTACATACATCCTATATCTCCTTTAATACTATGTTCAGCCATGAGCTTTACAAAATCTTCCTTGTCCCACCAGGGTGGATTTCTCCATGTCCTTTACTCTCTCTCAGTCTTTCAAAAGGGCATGTATTATTTATCATTATTTTGCACAGAAGAGACATCAGTTGGCATGTCAGGCATGTTGGGTAAACTGAAATGTATTGTTTAAAAAAATATTGTTTTCATGTCAGCAAATTCCTATTTAGAGATTTGGTCCAGCTTAAGAGTCAAGTCTTTGAGGACTGCTTTACGTCTGAAAATACAACTATATATTGAGGTTTGTATAAAGATTTGATGCAAGTATAATAATTTAAGTCACTAAAAATGAACATAACATTCAAAATGTTTTCTATATATATATATATTCTGTATAATCAATAATTAAAAATACTTATATCCAAGGTAGATGGCATCACTGAATGAATATCATATTCATAGACACTATTCTAGAAAGAATATGAGTGAAGCAGGTCTAAATACTATGAATGTTAACATAGCATTGGAAGATTATTATAATAATTGAGAAAATTTTAGCACTGAAATTAATCAAGGGTGTAATCTTGATGCTTAATTGAAATTTGGCTGAATGCTCTTCAAAATTTTAGATTAACTTTCAAATCATTTTAATATAGTAATTGATAACTATTCTATTTTCAATCTGAATTATTTGTTCAAGTTCAAGTTCTACAAAATATTATATATAATATATATATAGCACCAGGGTTTCTCAAATCACTTGATGGCAAACTTTACCTAGAACATATGAATTATTAGTTAATAAACAATAAACTCATGTCCCAAAATTACCTGCCTTTTCTTCAATGGACAACAGAATGATAACAGGGAAGTTTGTCTATGTTAGTGCATTCAAATTTCCAAAGAGAGTGAAAACACTAAACTGAAGGGCTTTTTTCTTTTTTGGGGGGGGCTTTCTTCTTAATCTATATTTCAATACTTACACATTTTTACTTCCCTGTAATAAGAAAATCTACCTACTTGATTAAACAATTATAAATCTGATAATGATCCCTATATTCACATGAGCAGAAATATTCATGGTACGAGAATGAATAGAGAACCAAGGTGATATCCATTTAATCCTTTAAAGGAGATTACTGCATGCTAAGAATTCATTTTAGAATGCTTCTTATTAAAGAGAATCAAAGTAACTACTTTCAGTATGAATTTTGATGAAAAATGAATTTCTGAGATGTATGATTTTCAATCAACTTATGCAAAGATGTGTTGATTTTCTTTCCTTAGTATGTACTAAGCATCTGAATGGTTTTCTATTACCTATATCATGCAAACTATGCATAACCATACTACAAAAATCATTGCCATTTTGGAGAATATATAACTTTGAGTTGGAAACAGAGCTGGAGTAAATATTTGTACTTGAAATATGTTCATTTTGTTAATATTTTCAATGATGAATACATCAATATAAATTCTCATTAGTGTTTCATACTGCACTATTTTTTCCTAAACTGTTCAGTGAAGCTGCTACCAAAAAATAGGAAAAAAATTCTTGCTACACTTCCTAAATTTTGTAAACTATAGGCTTATACTAATCAACTCGAAAATTATCAACATATAATTTGACTCTGTTATTTTTACCTCTAAAAATTAAAGTAGGAATTTAAGGAACACTTAAATTTGTAGTCATAATACCAAGGAATAACTGTTGAAAGGGAAAGTGAAAGTCGCTCAGTCGTGTCTGACTCTTTGCGACCCCTTGGACTATACAGTGCATGGAATTCTCCAGGCCAGAATACTGGAGTGTGTAACCTTTCCCTTCTCAAGGGGATCTTCCCAACCCAGGGATCGAACCCAGGTCTCCTGCATTGCAGTCAGGTTCTTTACCAGCTGAGCCACAAGGGAAGTCCAGAATAACTGTTACCTTTTCAAAATGAGAAATCTGTTCTCAGTACAATCATATGGGTCAATAGGTAATTCAGAAATAGTAGAATAAGCTATATAAAATAATCACCAGACATAATGTTTCCATTGTCCCCAATCTAGTTATCTATTTTCTCAATAATTATTTGGCATTTGTATAACAAAAAATTCATGCAAACATGAAAATTACTACATTGGCTAAATCATCAATTAGTAAATATGTACCCTTATTAATAGAAAAATGGTTATTTTAATTTTGATTTTATCTAGACTCCATAATTGGTATATAATACACAATAGGTATTTTGTTTTTTCTATCATTTATGTATTATTTTCTTCCTATATTTACTCCCTCCTCCCTCCAACATTTGAATTTCATTTTGATTTTTCTTTTTAATTCTTTTATATTTTCAAATTATTCAGGTTCTGGCTTTTACTGTCTATATTTTTCAGCTACTTTGAATTCCTCCTTGCATTTCCTACATCTTGGCTCTGTTTCAGCTCATTCTCTAATTGGAATCATTACCAAAATATATCTTTGGCTGTAACTAAATGGGCACAAGTAAAATAACATCCAATACCTCTATGAGTAACAACTGCAAGCTCTTTAGTTCTTTCTATCTGTTCAGCATTTCTTGGTCTTCTCCTTGTACTTTGTGTATCTGCTTGATGAGGTGAGAGCCCGTCCTTGGACGTGTTGGGGTCCAGACCTGAATTTCTGAGATTCTTTACTTGCACTCGCTGTTCCTCGGAAAGTCTATGGATGGTGACAGCTGTAACACTGGATACAGTAACATCTGCAGGTGTGCTAGCAACAGCAATAGCACCAGTGGCAGTCCTGTTATGCTCCTCTAACTCACCAGTGGAGGTAGTGTGGGTCAGTGGAGAAGAACCTGTGGGACACAGTAGCACTAGATGCTAACTTTTTTCTTTTAAATGTTGTTTTTTTTTTTCTGATAAGTTTCATAAATTATATTCTCTTCTATCACCTTAAGTATAATTAACATAAAAAGGCAAAACACAAACATGCCACTAAAATGTGAAGTAACCAGATCTGATGTTTTGTTTATATCAATCAATGTATGAAGAGTTATTACACATAAACATATCACATTTTAATTGTAACACATTAGGGAGAAAAAGGAGAAACAGTAAACCCTTTATCTGACCTTGAATAAATCTTATTCATTATTTATCTATAGATGATTTTTAGCAACAAATGCCTAGTAAGTGACAAGTTTTGACAAAATGGGTAACTATGTAACCACACTTTTCTCAAAAGTATGCTTTGAATAGTCCATGCCATCTCTCATCATGATTTCTGGGGGAAATATCATTTTTTTTTAAATTTTAAGACAAACAAGTGAAGAAAGGAGAATTTAAAAATCAAAACAAAATTGAAGACAAAATGATTTAAAAAAACTCTGAAATAACTACTCCTTGTAAATATCTATCTTTACCTCGTTTGCCAGAAAAAAGCCAACATGATAAAATATTCAATGTCATGAGCTATATATACACTTTAGAATTTAGTGGGATGTTTTGGAAGTTGGGCAATATTTTTCAGACTTTTAAAGTAACACTTGAGATTAACCAATTTTCAATTAGTTAAAATACACAAATCATTTTACTTAGAAATGACCAGAAATTAACTATTAGCATGAAAATTTCATCATACAAAATAGTTTTAAAAAGTGGTTGAAAATTTCCAAATATCTTTTAAGTATGTCACAGTAAATCTCTTAATCTTATTAAAGTTCACTATGCTTTTATAATTGTTTTAAAGACTTCAAATTAGGATTTTCTTTCTCCTTTCACTTAAACTCTTTTTTCAAAAATTGTACTTGGTAGAGAATAATTCTCACATAATGACAAAAAGATGCAATTTCTACAACAGAAGCATGAAACTGATTGAAGATATACTTAGATGATCTTGGCAGCTAAAATGCCTAATAAGAAAAAAAATAACTGAATTGTGGAGGAACAACTACAAATTAGAACTAACAGTCAGGTCCTGGTTAGAAAACTTCTTTTTTTTTTTTTTAACTTTACAATATTGTATTGGTTTTGCCATATATTGACATGAATCCACCATGGGTATACATGTGTTAGCCACTGAAGGGTGTAAGTCTTCACATAATCTGCCTTCTCAACAAAATGCATCTCAAACTTCTGTCCATATATATATAAGACAAAATGCAAAGGAATATTTTAATCATTTTGCAAGAGATAAAACAGCTATATCACATTATGTGATTTGAACATGTTCTGCCTTCTTCCCCACCCCTCTTTAGCTGTAGGCAGGTGATTAGTAGGACAAATAATTCAGGTTTCTGTTTTAAAGTAAAAAAGGAAGTCAAACAAGAGCTGTCCCTCGTTCAAAAGCAAGCAAAAGAGTACCTGTCCATTACTAATTCTTCCAGCTTGTGTTGTTATATGTGTGTGTGCTCAGTCGCTCAGTTGTGTCCAATTCTTTGCCATCTCATAGACAGGAGCCCACCAGGCTCCTCTGTCCACAGAATTTGCAAAGCAGGAATACTGGAGTGAGTTGTCATTTCCTACTCCAGCTGATCTTCCGGACCCACGGGTGAAACTTGGGTCTCTTGTGTGCCCTGCATTGGCAGGTGGATTCTTTACCACTTTTTTAAAAATTTGATTTAGAAATTCAAAAGAATTAAATGATTATACTTTGTGGTGGCCAGTGGTAAATGAAATATGATAATTATCAAGCAATCTTAAAGATTTTTAATATAGTTTAAAACATTAATCAGAAAGAGATGCTATTGAATATTCAAGTTATTTTGTGAAGATTAGAATCTACTAAATGCATATTAGTTATGCAAATTAGCCAGTAATATTTACTAAGCTAATATATGGTGAAGGTTTTCTTTAGTCACATGATTAAGTAATACCTACACTTGCATTACTAATATTTAGTAACTGACCATGGTAAATCAGACATTTTGATGTCCATATACTCTTTACTATAAAAACAATTACCTGGTCCATATTATTCATCTGGGGGATTTAACTGCACCTTTATTTATAAAAGAAACTAATGCTTTAGAACTCTTCCTAACTTTATCATAATGTCTGGGCTTTCAGGTTTAGTTTAAAAAAGGAAACTATTTAAATATAAACATATGCTGCTAAATGCAATCTAAAAGTATGAAAATTTGTGGAATTTGTACTGTCTCAAATCTCAGTGTGTCTATTAAACGTTTAACATAGAAGCAAATTAAACAGCTATTTATTATGCCCCATCATTGAAGGTCATTACATTAATCATAAATAACCTCTGTGCTTAGTTGCTCAGTTGTGTCCAACTCTATTCAGCACCATGGACGGTAGCTTGTCGGTTTCTCTGTCCATAGGATTCTCCAGGTAAGAATACTGGAATGGGTAGCCACTTCGCTCTCCAGGGGATCTTCTAAACCAGGAACTGAACCTGGGTCTCCTGCATTGCAGGTGGATTCTTTACCATCTGAGCCACCAGGGAAGCCCAAGTAATCCCTAGTATTTGGGTAAATGAATCTGGGGTAATTCTTAGGAATGTGTCTAGGCTGCTGCTAAAACTGATCTTTTAAGATCAACATACCAATTTCAAAATGCCCATATTCTTGAAGACTCCAGGCAATAAATACATTTCCTAACCAAATTTGTGAGTTAGAACTGATCTTTAGTAGGATTTAGACCCAGGATTTGCTAGTGATCCCAATCTTAAAATCTTCAGTAATAGAGTTCTACCACTGGCTAATAGCAATATTATTCTCTTAACCTGAATTCAAACAGGGTGTAATATTTGAATAAAGTAATGAAAAATCCAATTTAATAACCATCATCTAGCTAACTACATATTTCAAAAATATATTTTACCAATTAGTTCTTATATTTTACTAATATTCTGTTTTCATAATTTTTCCTCCCCATACTATAATGCAAGCTCCTTGAAGGCTGAGATTTAGGCAAATTCCACGCACTGCTGAAACCCAGGTATCTAGGATAGTGCCTGGTACATAGTAGATCCTTAAGGAATATTTATCAAAAGAAAAATAAAAGAATAGATGGATTCAAAAATAATTCTAATGTAATACTAACAATCATAAAGAGGATAAATTTCACAAATTAAATATGATTACAATTTTAACATGGCAATGTCATATTTCAAACAATGTAATGAAATGAAGAATTATTCCAAAGAAAGGAAAATCTGATGGCTTTGTTTTCAACTTTCAAAAACATCACTTTGAAAAAGTGTGGAAACTGAAGATTTATTTCGATAAGTAACAGTTACTTGAAGATTCATGTCAACATTCTCAAACCATGATAGCTTACAATGTTAGTGTGAAATGGATTTATTTAGAATATTCAAATTTCTGTAGAGTAAAAACTAGTATATCTCATAATGGCAGGAAGTAGAAGTACATCTAAATTTAATCATATATTATATATATATATATGTGTGTGTGTGTGTATATATATATATACATAAAAACAATGATTTCCTTATAAGACAATAAAATCATCCATCACCATACAATTATGTCATATATTATAACCATTTATCTAAAATGTAGACCAATTTAGAATACTATTTTTGGTACCACTTTAAAGTGGCAGTGTGTGAAACACAGATTTTTAAATTGTCAAAATGCACTATTTAACAGTTTCAAAACACTCAATAATCTTGCATACCTGATGTTTTTTAAGGAAATTGTTGATGCTGGAGAAATGCTTAGGATTATATATAGCAACAATATCATATTGAATATATTATATATCTAATTGAATATTAAAATATAATAGTTTGGATTCTTTTAAAAAAAATTAAGTTTACTATACAGTTATATAAGTGTTGTCTTTAATAGCACAATGTTAAATGATTTTACAAGACATACAACCCAAATTTACGAACAAAATGTACATCCAAAATACCCATTCTTCACTGGAAATCAAATCATGTATACCTGATGTAGTTTATCACAATTAGATTATCCTGTCAACTAAACTGCTTGAGATATATTTATAAATTAGATGTTTACAATATAAACACATCTAAAATATAATTTTATTAATATTTGAAACAAAACATTTCCAAATATAATAAAAATAAAATGAAATGATATACACATATAAACATGCTTCTAAAATCATAACTATATGTCATCTTGGAATTATGATAATGGAAAATGACATATGTTACACATGTAAATTGGCAAATGTATATAACAACAAAATTAAATTATATTATTAAATTTGGACTTATTAAGTATCATAATAAAATTTGTTTTTGAATGCTTTCCTATTTCAACATCTATATGCAAAGGACTAAACATAATTCACATAAAGCAATTTATAAATGTGCCATTTAGAAAATGTATTAAATAAAAATTGAATTTGAATTTCATTTTGATTAAAATTTTAGCCTTACATATTTTTTAAAATTACGCTATATTGCTTTGTAACTACTTTCTAACTTATCACAAACATAAAGAACATGTTACTACAGATATAAGTGGGAATCCCAAAATGCATATAGCTATACAAGTACATGTTAAACATAGGTGCATATTCATAGAAGTGGCTTTTAGATATATTTTGCATGCTATTTTATATAAAACATATATTATGTTCCACTAAGTTTAGCATTTCAAATTAAACATTTGAATAAAAACTTTAATAACAAAATAATCCTAACTGAATAATTTTGTGGTATCATGATATATAATGAAAAAAAATGCAATAAACAACTAACATGAAAACATGCAAAAGAAAAATATACAAAACAACATCAAAATAAATATAAATACGACTAATGCAGCAATTGTATGAGTCATCATTTAGATATTCTATACATTTTAGCATATCTATTTTCAGGAAGCATACTGCAGTT